ATTTTAAGAACATACTATGGAAAATGAGAGAGCCTGACTGCATAGGTGTGGATGCTAAAGAGACTGTTACATTACTTCTACCAACTAATTCTCTGTAATAATTGCATAAAATCACATACGAAACAGGCACTGTTCAAATTGATGTAAATGCCACCTCCTACTGTTGTCCAATTATTTTATGCACCAAAAAAGTAAGTACTGTTTGTACATGTGCATTGAAAAATACTGTACTTAAAAGATCTGCGTCATAGCTCTTCTTGACCTGCTGCCCACAAACAGGGAAGAATTGGTGGCTAATGTAGTAGTAGTGGATGGCAACTGGGGCAGTGACCATGAGATGACTGAGTTCAGGATCCTGAAGAAAGAAAGGATGGAGAGCAGCAGAGTAAGGACCCTGGACTTCAGAAAAGCAGAGTTTGACTCGCTTCAGGAACTCATGGGCAGGATCCCTTGGGAAGCCAGACTGAGGGGAAGTAGAGTCCAGGAGAGCTGGCTGTACTTTAAGAAAGCCTTACTGAGAGTGCAGGAACAAACCATCCCAATTGCGCAGGAAGACTAGCAAGTATGGCAGAAGACCAGCTTTGATTAGTAGGGAACTCTTCAGTAAACTAAATCATAAAAAAGAAGTTTATAAGAAGTGGAAACTTAGACAAGTAACTAGGGAGGAGTATAAAAGCATTGCTTGGGCATGCAGGGATGAAGTCAGGAAAGCCAAAGCGCAATTGGAGTTGCATTTAGCAAGGGAGGTGAAGGGTTTCTACAAGTACGTCAGTAGCAAAAGGAGGATCAGGGGAAGTGTGGGTCCCTTACTGAATGGGGAAGGCAACCGTGTGACAGAGGATGCAGAAAAGGCTAAAGTGCTTGATGGCTTTTTCACCTCCATCTTAGCAGGCAAGGTCAGCTCCCAGACTACTGCGCCAGACAGCACAGTTTGAGGAGGAAATAAGCAGCCAACAGTGGTGAAAGAACAGGTTAGGGACTGTTTAGAAAAGCTGTACGTGTACAAATCCATGGGGCTCAATGCAGTGCACCCGAGGGTGCTGAGGGAGTTGGCTAATGAGATATCAGAGCCACTGGCCATGAACTTTGAAAACTCATGATGATCAGGAAAGGTCCTGGATGATTGGAAAAGGGCAAACAGCACCCATATTTAAGAAAGGGAAAAAGGAGGAGCCAGGGAACTACAGGCCAGTCAGCCTCACCTCTGTCCAGAGCTAGCCTGTCCTATCCTGTGAAACCTGGAGCTGCAGGGGGCCCCACAGCCAAGGGGCCCCCTGCATCTAGCTGCTTGCCACCCCCACCCCTCCGACACTTCACATCCAGCCGCTTGCCACCCCCTGACCCCGCTGCTGCTGCCACCAGCTTCTTTGTGTCAGGGAGCCCCAAAACTATATCTTGGAGGGGGTCCCAAAAAATTGTGGGCCATTCCTGCCTCAGTTCCTGGAAAAATCATGGAGTAGATCATCAAGAAATCCATTTCTAAGCACTTGGTGGAGAAGAAGGTGATTAGGAACAGTCAGCATGGATTCACCAGGGGCAAGTCATGTCTGACTAATCTGATTGCCATCCACGATGATGTGACTGGCTCTGTGGATGCGGGGAGACGGGTGGATGTGGTATACCTTGATCTTAGTAAGGCTTTTGATATGGCCTCCCACAACATTCTCCCAGGCAAGCTAAGGAAGTATAGACTAGATGAATGGAGTGTAAGGTGGATAGAAAACTGGCTGGAGCATCAGTCTCAGCCTGTAATAATCAATGTCTAGTTGGCAGCCAGTATCAAGTGGAGTGCCCCAGGGGTTGGTCCTGGGACTGGTTTTGTTCAGTGTCTTCATCAATGAACCGGAGGGTGGCATAGAATGCACCCTCAGCAAGTTTACAGATGACACCAAGCTGGGGGGAGCAGGAGATACATGGGTGGATTTGATTTAAACCAAATCTATTTAAATCACTAGTCAGAAACCTTTGATTTAATCATTGATTACTACAAAAAGTGCATTACTACTACAAAGTTCTGCGCTTATTCATTTAACTTCTTGAAACTTTTCACTTTTAGAGAAAGGTAAGGGCTTGACTGTGTACACAAACCTGCAGAGAGACAGTATGGCTGAAGGGTGGGTAATTAGGTCTGTTATCTCTCATCTCCATATACTGCTGTTAACAAGGATGCTATCTCGAGACAAACTCTCCCTATGCCTGAAAAAGGGTGTTTGTACCCGAAAGCTTGCAAAGAACAATTTTTCCAACTATTTAGTTGGTCTAATAAATTATCACATCTGCCCAAAGAACCTTGTCTGCTTATGGTCTCTGGAGACACATCCACAGTTTGAGAACTGAAAATAAGCATCACAAATGCTTAATGCAGGGGTGGGCAAAATGCGGCCCGTCAGGCCATTCCTTCTTTCCACGGGGCCCCTAAAAATTTTAGTTATTTGATCCTGGCTGCCTGTCATGGGGCCCTTGATGCCTTGCCAAAACTTAGTAAGCGGCCCTCTACCTGATAATTGCCTGCCCCTGGCTTAATGGGATCTAGACTGAGCACTGAGTCCCATTGGGTAGAGTGGTTTTCTTTAATTTTTACTAATCTATAGAGGAGCCTCTGGGAACCCCATAAAATTGAGCACCTAATATAGTTCATGGCCCGCTGTGACCTATTTCTAAAACTTCTAAAAAGGTTACATGAATATATTGTCTTAAATAGCATATAATTAGAAGTTATAATCACTATTCTATGATGATCTCTTTAAAAATATCATAACAAAAAACATTTCTTAAATATATGATTTAAATAAAAAAAATTCTGATTTTTATTTTAATTATTTAAAAAAAATGTTGATTTCTGTCTACCCTGGTAGATGTATTGGAGGGTAGGACTAGGATTCAGAGTGACCTAGACAAATAGGTGAATTGGGCCTAAAGAAATCTCATGAGGTCCAACAAAGACAAGTGCAAAATTCTGTGCTTAGGACAGAACAGTCCCACGCACCAGTACAGGCTGGGGGCTGACGGGCTGGGCAGCAGCTCTGCAGAAAAAGACCCAGTAGGTTACAGTGGACAATAAGCTGAATGTGAGCCAATAGTGTGCCCTTGTTGGAAAGATGACTAACGGTATACTGAGCTGCATCAGCAGGAGTATCGGTAGCCCCGGCCCCAGCCTGGAGCGACAGCCTACCCTGCTCCATGCAGCTCCTGGAGTGCACATTCCCCATGCCTCCTGGGGTACATGTAGCACCAGGAGCTGTGCTGCCCGGACGAGCCGCTTGTGGCTGTGTCCCACGTCACGCCTTGGCTGTGCAGGGCCTGCTCTAGCCCCAGTCCCACTCCTTCCCTCACTGCTGCGTGCGCGCCCCTCCTCACCCCTCCCCTGCTGGAGCTGTCAGGAGCCTATGGCCGGGCTGCCTTGTGGCCCTACCTCGACCCCGCATTTGTGGGGGATAAGCCCTGTTAGCCTCCCCTTCCACCACCTATGACTTTCCATTCTTGGAGGTTTTTAAGACCCGGCTAGACAGAGCTTTGGCTGGGATAATCTAGTTGGGGTTAGTCCTGCTTTGAGCAGGGGCTTGGACTAGATGACCTCCTAAGGTCCCTTCCAACCCTAATTTTCTATGGGTCTATGATATGTAAAATCCACCTTTCAATATTGTCTAAAATCATTTTTTAACTTTCCTCAGAAGAAAATTTCCAATCATTTACTACCCATCCCCCCCCCCCCCCAAATAAATAAATATCCACCTTGGAAGAGAATTTTCAGTTAAAAGTGGGGCATGTCTAAAAACATTAGTTACCTTGGATATGAAAGTCCATACACTTTCAAAAGTTTGGTTTATTTTGAGTATAAATGCTTGGTTGAAGGTGTGTTAGTTTAGATGGCAATTTGCTTTTAGCTTTATTTTTTTCTAAACCAGTGCATTCTAGGATTGTTTTTTCATGAGTTGCATCTAGGAATGTGAACTATACTTTATCTGGCTGTGCCTTTACCTTGATACCCTACAGTAAGCATGTCCTTTGTTCCCATTGCTCATAGGTAGTTTTACCTTTCAAATTGTATTTGATAACTGACTTGATTACATTTCCAGGGTGCAGCTACAACTGCTTCCAGCTTCCCTGTCTTCTCTTAATAGGACAGTTTAACATCCTTGGCTTATTGGTGTCATCAAAATAATTATATTACACTGGAGGGAGTTTTGTAGCGAGGAGGAGCATCTACATGAGATGCTCACTGCAGGGCTGACTTATTAGCTCTGCAGTAAAGCATCAGCATCTACACATGCAGTGCTATTAGGCTGGAGTAAGCTAATTAAGTCTGATGTAGGAGGGTACTGCCTGACACAAGTACTATCCTACAGCGGAGTTATTCATTCTGTTACATTGCAAGTGCAGACACTGACTGGAGCTGGCTTGCTGGGGCATGAGGGTGCTATGGTGTGGGACTGCCTGCTGGTTAGCTCTGCACAGTAGCACCCCCGTTCCCCAGCCAGCCCCTCCGTAGCACATTGAACCAGGTCAGAGCAGCCCCAGGCTGGCAGGCTGACCCTTGGGTCTCCCTGCCAGTCAGGGCTGCTCTGCCCTGCTGCAGTCCCAGGTACATGTGTAAATGCTGCACCTGAGAGCAGTAAACTCCAGCATGAACTGTCATAAAGAACTGTGTGCCCTGTCCATATTATCTGTTTTAGCACAGTGCCTCTTAACTTATAAAAGTAAATACCTTTTGAATAAATGTAGTGCCAGCTGGAGACATAGTCAGGGAACATATGCAGCTAGAAACCAAACCTATTACTACTTGCAAATTAAATGAATCCTCACAAGGTTGCAGTCTCAAATGAGAGTGTCTACATGGGTGTTTGCTTTGAGGGTATATCCTATTGAGTCCAACTTTATTTTGGACTGATTAAAAATTGGTTGGAAAATGGAATTTGAAAAAAATGTAGGATTATTCCATTTAAATAATGACATAAATGTAATATTAAACTTTTAATATCCCCCCCCCCATATTTCACTAGATGTCCCTGGTAGATTTGGGAAAGAAGCTTTTAGAAGCTGCACGAGCAGGTCAAGATGATGAAGTTCGCATTTTGATGGCCAATGGAGCACCTTTCACCACAGACTGGGTAACGGATATTTTAATTTGTTTGTGTCGCTTGCTGTTTTTTGTTTCACCCTGTTTTTCCTTTTTTTCTTCTGGAGAATAGGTACATTTTTTATAACCTCTAACATTATATAAACCTATTCTTAAGGTTTCCTGAATTGGAATCTGCAGTTTAATTTTTTTTCCCAGTATCCAGCATCAAATTGAAACTGACTATTTGTTCATATTATCTGACCTTGAAATAATAGCCATGAGGACAGCAACTGGTAATAACAAATTGTGAATGAGTTACTATTAATGGCAGCCTAGACAAACTATGGAAAGGTTAATGGTAAAGTATTTGCTCTCCATCCACAACAGTCACTAATTAACTTCTTAATCATATGGTTACAATTTAGTTTAGGAAGAGAGTCCAGTTGATTGAATTTTATTCTAGCTATTGATGATTAGCAAAGATGGGGTAAATGACACAACAGCTAATATGGCAGTTGGTGGAATTAGAGCATATATGACGCTTTGAAGAGGCAAGTCACAACAGTGGGATCTTCTCTAAGTGATGGGTTAGTGAAGATCTCAGTTTGGAATGTTTTCTTTCTATATTCATTTATAAACATCCTGCTTCTTTCCAGAGGGCTAAATGGGGAACGGTTTAGAAGTGGTGGACAGGTGCATGGGTTCTGTGTCTTCAGAATAAAAATCAAGAAGAGAGGGGAAAGAAGTGACTGCTTCATTATTGTCTTCTTTTTCATACTGTCTTCCTTTGCATTGCCTTACAGTTGGGAACATCTCCACTTCATTTAGCAGCGCAGTATGGACACTATTCAACAACAGAAGTGTTACTTCGAGCAGGTGTGAGTCGCGATGCCAGAACCAAAGTGGACAGAACTCCATTACATATGGCAGCGTCTGAAGGCCATGCAAGCATAGTAGAAGTCTTACTTAAGGTAGAAAATTCTTACATTATGTGCTGTTTGGAACAGAGCCCGAGTTTGGCTTTACAATTAAAGAGGTTTGCTTTAAATTCCGAGTTTGTCACCAAAGCGATTTTTTTTTTTTTTTTTTTTTTTTTTTTTTTTAAAAAAAAAAAATAAA